TTATATACTCTAAGTTAGTCAGTATTCTATGTCCATATGCTGATGGGTATTCTTCTGTTCATTTGGATCCCATTTATCTCTTTTGATCTATGTCAAATAATAACCTTAGCATTGCTCAGGTTTCTACAATATTAGTATGGATACCTTCTTATTCTTTCATCTCCTTCACTTTAAATCTCACAAACCAGTTCTTTCATTACTTCAACAACACACATTTATCAATATGCTGCTCCACAGCAGACATTGCTCTAGACTTGTAGAAACAAAACAAATTAAATCTGTGTGTGTATGGATCATATATTTAATGGATATGTATATTATTGAGGATCCAGTCAGAAGACATAAGTGAACATACAGCATTTACTTTAAAGAATTACTCACTAATACTAGGTGATTCATAGTAAGGGACAAAGAGAACCCTAAAGAATACAAGAATAGTAGGTACATGGAGCAGCCACTACTTCTAGAGCTGAGAGTGCACAACAAAGAAAATGAAGATGGAAAAGTCTCCCTCTACCAAAGGCCAAGATTCAGGAAAGTGTGGGTGTGGAGTCACACTAGATTACAGAGAATTTAGTTAAGGTTCTACTAACAGTGGATCACAAGAAAAGGAGGCTGCCTGCTATGGAATGATGTGCTTAGAATCAGCCATTGTGGAACTGGAAAACTTGTGTGGATTCCCCATCCCAACTGCAGTGCCAACAAGACATGCTGAGAAGATGCTCACTGGGGGATCTGACCAGTTTTGTTGGCAAGTCACCCACTGAGCACCAATTGAAATTCACTGACAACTGCACATCCCTGCCCTGAGCCCGCAAGCAAATTCACATAGGGTGCATGCCAGTGGAAGTCCTGCATACCATTGACAGCTGTGCACCATAGGAACAAGAGCAAGAACAAAGATGCTTCAGGACTAGAACCATCTTTCTTTCAGTATTCTTTTGCTCTTTACCATTGTACCAACTGGTCAAAGAGACATGCTTACAGGGGTCATAGTCCATATCACAGAGAGGGCTAAGAAGATGAACTTGTAGCTGAGAGGCAAACATTTACTAAGTGGAATTGTACACTCTGTTGGTTACAAAACAGTTTTTTTTCTACCTCACCAAATAGAGCTATAATTAGCACAAGCACAAATGTTTCTTATTCTCTAAAATGAGAAGAAATTGAGTTCCAGAAGTCATTTTATCTATTACTGGCTATGTAAAAATTATTTCTCAAATTCTGTCATAGTTTTATTGAAAATTGTGTTGTTTAAAATACCAGAGTGTAAGGTTAGTTTGTGACAACATATACAGAAATTACTTTAAGATACAGGGAAATAAAGAATAGGTAGCATATATTACTAAATTCATATACATGCAAGGAAAAAGAACATAGCCAAAATTCTATATTTTTTTCTCAATTCTGTACCTATACAGAAGTATGTGATTAGGTTATGACTGTCTTCTACCACAATTCAGTATTTTCTTGTCTTAGCAAAAACCTCAGTTTATTAAAAATTTCTGCCTTTTTAAGCAACCCCAACTTTCATTTGAAAAGGCTCTATTACTAAATAATCCTGTCTCTTTTATTTTTGTTGTTTTCTCAAGTTTCCTTATTTTTCCTTTAGGTATTAAGAAGTATCTCAGAAGATTATTTTGGTTGCAGATGCAGTTCTTTTAATCTCCTATGGGGTAGCATCTACCCATTTTGTCTTTGGTTATTGAGATCAGTCACCCCAGACAGTATGGTAACCTTTGTTCTACCTGTTGGTTCAATGGCATCAAAAGCCCCAAATGGTGAAGTGACAGGGTCATTTTACAGTTTAATAGAAACACTGTTGTGTCCCACACTGCAAGCTTTTCTCCCCTGAGGACTGAGAACTACAAGTCACCAGAGCCCAAAGTTTTCATAAGAGAAAGCAAAAATTATGTTAGTACACCAAAAGTGTAATCATGAGATAAATCAATGTGTTACCTGTTGATTCTAGGCCCCCCGTATTCTAAATCTAAGAATATCAGTAATGTAATATGATTTTCTTATTCAAATAATGTATAGCATCCTCAAAAAAACTTTCAGTTTCTCATCCAGTGGAATGAATGTTTTAAAATACAAACCAGTGTCTTCCTTCATCCTTTCATTCTGGTGAGGCTTCAAGGCCTACTTACTGGATGCTGCCATCAACATCCAGGCCTGTCTTTGCCCTCGATTTGTGGGACTACACACCAATAAGCTCTGAACACTGCCAGATATGCACCCAGAAGTGTGCTGTACTAATCTTCTAGGTCTCTCTCAATCTATTAAAGTTGACAGTCATCATTAGCCATCATAGTTCACCCCTTGTCAACTTGACCATCATTTCCTTAAACCATACTTGATCTCCAAATAAAGACAATAATAATTTCATTATTGTGTCTAATATGGTTTAATAACTATATAAACAACTAGAAATGACCTAATTTCCTCTCCATAATAGAAAGTGAAGTTTTTTCTTTTGGTGATATTTACTCTTTTACAGACATTCCATAATTTAAATATTGTAATGCAGATTTAACAATACTTAAGTACTGATACTAAATCCATCAATATGTTACATGGGGTAAGAACACAAAGACTTAAAAGAAAGATATTTGCTTAATATACTTGTTTATGTATATATGTGCAAACATATTAACAAAATAGCAAAGAACCATTCATGGTAATTGTGGTTCTCATTTCTATAATTGGGCATATAGTCATGGCTGAGATTTATAATTATCTTTTTCTGATATTCATTCTGTATTCCCTTGTCCTTCAGCACATACTTCAGTGTCCCTTGGTTCTTTATCCTCTGGGGTAGCTTACGCTTTCTTCCAAGAAGGAATAGATTTGTTCTAAAATTCTTGATTTCTGCACTATGATCCTTTGTTAGCACTTTTCATAAACTTTATGTGGCATGATGGTTACACACACACACACACACACGCACACACGCACACACATACACACACAACTTTTCTCATTGGATCTGCTGAAACATAAAGCTTGAGTGATAGAGTAGTTTACCTTATAGCCTACATTTGCTGCAGAAACTAATCTTTCTCTGTTCCTACTCAAGCTACCAGCCTTTGGATAACTTTGTAGATTTGTCTAAGCAACACTCATATATGACATTCTAAAATCAAAATGTTTGCCAGATATTGTGCCCCTTTTTCTTTTTTCCATAAACTGAAGCAATTTGCCCTTAATTTGTGATGGACATCTTGAATTTCTCCAGATCCTTCATCCCCAGAACCATCACTGAATGTATAAGCTGGAAATTTTTGTGAGTTTCTTTTGGTGTCTAGCATTACTAAAACATATAAACTATTTGAAATTTTCCTGGTCGTCAAGTCCATTTAACATGCTATCAATGTAGTTCTGGTATGACATTTTCAAAATTTTCTCTGAGCATGGTATCTCTGAGAGAGACCAGGAGAATTTGTGTGGCCCAGTGAATACATTTTGTTGGTTCTATCAGATAAAAATAAGATGCCTCTGGTGTGACTTGTAGAATAGTATGGAGAACTTCCATTGTTCATGTCAATACCTGGATAGAAATTACTTATGCTGTTTTGTTTCTAACAAGAGCCTGTATTTAGAATAGGAGCTTCAACTGAGTCTACTCATGATAAAATTCTCTATCACATGGACATTCTCGAAGGTCTATGTTTCTACTGGGGATGTTAACTTGGAATGTGATTTGGTCCTTGCCCAGTTTTCAGACCACTGCTTCATTGGGATTCACATTTATTTTATTCTGGTCACCGGGACCTCCTTATTGCCTTAAATGGATGATGTGCTTGTCATATCTTTGATGGTCGATTATTCTCCAGAACCTATCATATTCACTGAAGTCAGGGGATTATCTCAGTGATAGTATTCCAGTGTCTATATATGTGTTATAATGGAGAATAACTATCAGGAATAGAAATGCTTGACTCAATGCATTTTTCCAAACCTTAGTAAAGGCATATCTTTTGTGCTTCTTTGGAAAAAAAATATTTAGAGTGAATTTGCAAGACATATATGAAAAATTCATACTGGCATTCCTATATTTTTAAGAGTTTAATTCTATAACATTTAATTTCTATTAAACTTAATTTGTATGTCCTTAAGACTTCTTAATTCCCTTGCCACACCATGCCTGAGAGTTTGGTAATTTAACCTTATTTATTGTAGGCCACAACTGATGCCAAGTTTTAGTCAGCCAGCCAAGTAACCTGGTAGTGCCACAATTTCATGAAGTAATACTTGAAATCTGCAGTCTCTGATATCAATAAGATATGAATATATCTAAGAAAACAATCAAATATCAATGAGATAACTGAGAAATGAATGAGAAATCAATTTAATATCTGAAAATTAGATGATGAAAAAACTAGTTCTCTGTTTTTCTGATTATGGTTTTAGTTAAGAATTAAATATTAAGCCTAGTATTTTCTTTCTTCAGTTGTTCTTCTGAAGCTACACTAGTATTTGTACCACTATCACCACAATCATGTGAAACTGTTGCTTGGATCCCAAGACCCTTGTTTTAGTTGGCACAATTTCACAACCAATTAGAGAAGAAAGCTTCATTAATTATGATTCCATTGTACTCATTTTATTACATTTTATTACTCAATTTTGCATTGGAAAATGGAGCTTAAAATCAATAATAGAGTCTCACTATAGAGTCTGTCTTTTGAACTACTCCCTGTATAGCTCTGTTCAGTTAAGAGACTGAAAGTATATTATTGGAACCATTTACTATAAGGAAAACAAATAATTTAATATGTAATAATTATATTAATCCCCAAAAGGAAAGTATATCTTAGGTTAGCTAAGGTTGGATTGGCTGTCCCTTGAGGCTGCAATAAATTACCACTAACATGTGACTTGCAACAATATAAATCTACTAACTTGTACTATGACATGAATGCTACTGAGCTAAAATCAAGTTTTAAGGACGCATTTGTTCTCTAACAATTTATTTTTTTATATTTTACATCTTCTAGAGGCCACCTATAATATTTTCCTCAAGGCTCCATTCCTTGAACTTCAAAGCCAAACCTAGTTTACTCTTTCTCAGATTGCCTTTGGTGATTCTTCCTCCATTATTACATCTCTATCTCAGTACAAACTGGAAAGCTTCTTTTTAAGAACTCAGGTAAGTAAATTGGAATCTCATATAATCTAGGATAATTGTCCCTTTTAAAAATGATAATCTAAATCATTCTTGTAAATTGCACTTTTTTTTGGTAAAGTATGTGTAAGGCTCTATAGATTACAGCTGGATAATCTTAAAGGGAAAATTTTTCTGCTTGCTATAGAACACCAAAGGCTACAAAAGTGACACAGGGAGGAAGCAGCCTTTCTCACTAAGTTTAAGGCAGACCACTCAAAGGGAGAATGGAATTGGAAAAAGGTCTTCTTCCAGCTAAGATTTATACCTCATCCGAGATGGCGAAATATATATACATGGAGATGGACATAAGTAGAACAAAATTTTTGTATTTCCTTTCTCTAGTGAAAAGTAAATTAATAAAATATTTATTAGTAATACAGGATAGTGAGGTTCATTTTGGTTTTATGCCTTTATTTAACATATCTTGATCTTTTCCACCCCATTACCCCATTTTCTCTTTCTTTCCTCCAATCATTTCACCAATTCCAAAAGTCTAAACTATACTTCCTAGTTTTGCAGCATGTCTTCTCTTTTATCTATCTATCATCTGTCTATCTACTAGCTGTCTATCTATTATAATAGAAATCATGAAATATTTAACTTTCTGTGTTGGCTTATTTAATTAACATTGTGATCTAAAGATTCATCCATTTGCCTGAAAGTAACATGACTTCATTATTCTTTAACTGAAAAGTATTCCCTTATGTGTACATACCATGATTTTTTTTATCCATTTATTTGTTGATGTTTTTGTAAGGCTATTTCCTTAGCTGAGATATTGTGAATTGCACTGCTATAAACATAGGTATGAATGTATTATTGTAGTATCATTTCTTTAAATCTTTTGGGGTTGTATCCAGGAGTTATAGAAGGTTCACATGAAATTTTTATTTTTAGTTGTTTGAGAAACCTCTATACTAATTTCCATAATGGTTGTACTAGTTTACTTTTATACCAATAATGTGGAAGAGTTCCTTTTCCCCATCAACCTTGCTAGCATTTGTTCCTATTTATGTTCTTGATGATAGCCATTCTGATTGGGATAAGATACAATCTTGAAGATATTTTGATTAACATTTCCCCAATGGCTAAAATAATGAACATTTTGGGTGTACCTATATTTTTAAATCCCTATTATTATTTTAAATAAAATAGATTATGGCATATTGATTTAACTGTCAAGCCTTTGTGAATTTTTAAAAATTCAGTCTGTGCCATTATTCTTTTCAGTATTTAGCATGTGGTACAATATTTGAAATTTTGTAGGTGCTTTAAACAGTCTTTTAAATACATATATTAATAAATGAGTGATTTAATAAATCAATGAAATAAATGAAACAAAATTGTTTCTCAATTGGAAGTTTTCCAGATACAAGAGAGGAATTGCCAAGTGATAGAAAAATATGTAAAGCATTCTTCTAAGACCAGACTTCCATGGTGATAACAAGGGAAGGGAGATTAATTCATGTATCAGATTAGCATACTTTGAATATATAATTGGAATACTAATATAGTGAACATCTTTATGCCTTTTCCAATTTTGAGATATATCATGAGCAGAAATGCTGGTGGAGACAAGTTAAAGGCAATTGAAGTATCACTCTATACTGTATAATTTAACACTGGTTGTAACAAAAGACAACTCAATAAGCAACAGGAGAGCAGAAGCTAGATATTTCCCATTTAGAGCAGAGGTTAACATTAGTTCATTTATATATGTCATACTCTTACTATTAATGATTTCATTTCTTTTCAGCAGCATAAATGCTTCTGAAATTGCTCCCAACACCATCCTGAATGGTGGAACTATGTGTAGCACATTTAGTTCTGCACCTAAAACATTTGACTGAATTTCCATTTATTAAAGGATTACATATGAGACATACAGATGAGAAAGCAAGAAAGGAATATGAGTAAATTGCCTCTGTTATAAGACTATAGATTTCATCTAGTAGCTTTGATCTTGTCTTTTCTTATCCTTGCGATTGATAGAAATAAGCTGCTCCCAATTCTGTTTTCTTTCCTTGTTTGTTTTATCTCTTTATTTTATTTCATTCTTTTTCCTATTATCATACTCCAGTTTATCTATTCTGTTATTCCTGATTTTACTAATTCAACTTCTGTTTCTACTAGTTAGCGATGATATTTTCCTTTTTCCATAAAATTGATTCTTCTTATTAATATTATCTCTAGAGCAAAACCAATCATCATGATATCATGCACCATTTCTAACATTGCTATTCCCTCTAATCATGGAATGGAGAGAATGCAGGAAAACAGGCAATATAAAAACGATACAAAGCAAAGTGGTCAAATGTTCTAATATGTAAGAATGTATAGACAACATGCCAGATGCAGGCAAATCTTTTTAGAGGGACTTTGATTGTAGCACAGATGGAAACAGATGTGAAAATAAGAAAGTATTATAGGGTAAGAGGTCATATGGAGGATGAAAACAAATTTTATAAAATTTCAAGCAAAACAAGAGAAAGCAGTATTGTATGCAGAGAAGAGAAATTTGAATTTTAAAGTCTTGACATGGAGACTTTTAAAAAAATTTTTACTTTATTGGTACATTTGAGGTATACAATATAACATTCATCATTGGAAATTTGCGCCTTTACATAATCTCTCTTAGTTCTTATTTTTTCCCCTTCCCCTGCCCTCCCTTCAACCCATCCATTCTTCCCGATTTACAAAGACTTTGTTTCCATTTTTCATTTTCTCATATTAATTGCATTCCCTTCTTCAATTTCCCTCACCCCTCCCACTTCCCCTTCCCTTTGCCCCTTTTCTTCCTATTTCACATTATCTATTATACCTTTTAGTCCTTATTTACACTTTCAGTTTCTCACACTAGAGAAACTTCCTATTTATGTCCTATTTGTGTCCTATTTATTGCACTTAAAGAGTATCACTCAATGTGCATCTATTTACCAATAAATGGCTCTAATTTTTCTTTTTTGATGGCTGAGTAATACTTCATTTTATAAAAATAACCCCACATTTTCTTGATCCAATCTCTGTGATTCTGATGGGCTTTCCTTTGTATGTGATTTGTTTCTTTTCTCTAACTGCTTGTAGAACTTTGTTCTTCTGTTGGGTTTCTGGAATCTTAACAATTATATGCCTATGTGTAGATTTTTTTTTGATCAAGGCTATTTGGAGTCCTATATGCCTCACTTATCTGTATGTCAAGTTCTTTTCCCCTGTTTGGGAAGTTTTCTGCCATTACTTCTGTGAACAGTTTTTTTTTTGTCATCTGCACTCTCTCTTGTTTCTTCTTTGACTTCAATCAGTCTTATGTTATTCTTCTTTGCATCATCTAGCAGCTGCTGGATGGATTTCTCATGGTCCCTTATAAGTTTGAAGCAATTTTTCTTTTCCTGGTCACTAATTGCAATCTTATCTTCTATATGTGAAATTCTGTTCTCACATTGGCTCATTCTGCTGCATAGACTTTCAGTGGAGTTTTTAATCTCCTGGAAATCTGTTTTATGGATTCCATTTGTTTCCTATGTTGGCATTCCATCACGTTCCTCAGCTCTTCTATTTTTTTATCTGTGTCCTCTCTAGATTTATTAATCCTGTCTTGCGCTATGGGCACAATCTCTGCTATTATCTGAGAAATTATTTCAGATTTCATTTTTTCTAGATCCTCTTTTGTTGCCAGTTCAGGGAGTCCAGGTGGTTGAGTATCAGTGTTCCATCTCCTTTCCCTTTGGGGTTGCTGTAGGTGATCTGAAATTCTAGTTTTGAGACTTGTTCACATGTCTTTTCATTTTGATTGGGGTTGGGTGCTATTGGCACCTGCATGGGTCACCTCCTCTGCCCTGGGAGTGGTGGAACAGTGTCCCAGAAGCCCCTACCTGTGGTCTGAGAGCAGTGGAAAGGTGACCTGGAAGCCCTTCCTCTCGGCTCTGGATCTGGACATTTTGAATGATGATGAAATGTAATGTATAACTACACTGTTTATTAATTGATGCAAAGCAGAGATGGAGATTTGGGAGGAAATAGCAGAAGTAATTAAGAATTCATGAGACCAGGTATTTGTTCTTTTATTCTTACAATCTTTAATGGAAGTTTAGAACAGCTGAGGCTATAGAAGTCATATGTATGTTTTATTATTTACACATTCATGAATTTCTTTATGTCCGAGATCTTCATGTCTAAAATGTTTAATATAATAAGATCTACTATAAGAATTAAAAACTTAGACTCAGAGTAATCAAAAACTGCTTTCTTTCATTCCCTTGTTTCTTTTCATCTAACTGTAAAATAAAAAGTTTGCCTACTATCTGAGATTTTTAAGGTAATAGTGTGCCATCCCAATCATGAAATATCAAACATTTGTCCATATTATTTTCCATTTTTTATGACCATAAAATTTTTTTCCTTGAGATTTTCTGTACTTTTGACTAAATTGCTATAGAGTTTTAATAAATTTGTTGAGTATTACACTTTATTCCTCATTATTTTAGCATTATTAATTATTTGTACTGTTTAACATGGATATAGACAAATCTTCATATTTTATTAAGCTTTTTTTAGATTTAAATTATATTGAATCTGTAATGCATAGGAAAAGGGTAATAACAGGTTTAGTAAAGTTAATTTGCACTTCTGTACCTCAGTTTTCTTATCTATAAAGCATAAAATTAATAATAACTTTGTATGGCAGCAATGATGAATCTGGAATTTTCTATAGTAAGTTCTCTGAACTGTTATTGGTGCTTAGCAATCATAATATGAATATTAGCTCTTATTGATATTATCACGTCACTATTATTGTTCAACCTTAACAATTTACAAAAATATATTATGGTATTATTGTAAAAGAATTATAACTTTATAGAGTTAAAACTTTGAAAGTTGTGTGTGTAAAACAAGTCTCTGCATGTTTATCACAGCTGGCAAATTTCATCCTTGAGGACTGATGTATTATTTTAAATGCCAACTTAATCCAGAAACATGTTTTACAA